AAGATTGACAGGAAAGGGGGGGCAGAGAGGGGGGATGACACGCAGCAAACACAGGTCAGACTGGAACCCTGGGCCGCTGCAGCAAGGACTCAGCCCAGGTAAGCTCTCTGGGTTACCCCGAAACCATCCTGTTGGACTAAACTTTATTGGAATTGTCACAGGACAAAGGGGGTTTTGTGCTTCACGTTGTTGCTGGTCAGCTGATCTGTACAGTGTGATCATAAAAGTTTCAGGTTCTGGCTGTGCAGATAGTCAGATTCAAATGTGTAATGACACACACACACACACACTAAGTCAAGCAGTGGAACCAGACAGCTTTCAATACATATTTCAGTGAGAACCACATTAAGTATCGAGGTTTGATAGTCGGTTCAATGCACAGGCATTTAAAATTAGCATTTATATGCAGCAGGTCTGTAATCAGATTTCTGAATAGATCTTGGAAAAGTCAGAAAATATAATAGAAAAGCGAGCTTGTTGCATATAGACATAGATAAAGGCTTCATTTCTACCTGGTGATGTGATCAGTATCTAGATAGATTATCTGAATGATGGCTAGAGGCCTTTGCATTCATACCTGGTATTTAAGTGATTAAGTGTTTTAATATGTAAATCAGCAAGACAAGACTGCCAGCAAAAATGACACATCTGAGGGAAAGGGAAGCAATGCCATGGACACGTCATTCATCTTTAGATCACTTTTTGCGAAGGAAGACTCGCTGCTACCTCTTGTAGTTTTCTGCTGTACTGTAAGATAGCAGGAAGAGGCAGGGTTTGGTGACCTTTGAACTTGCAGAGCTTTTTTTCTTAAAAAGTGTGGCCATGCTGTATGCGTTCACATCTGGCTGAGAGCTGATCTCAGTGCGAGCCAGACGACCGATCACAATGTGTTCTAGATGCATTTACACATGTTTGCTTTTATCCAGATACAGATCACATGTTAAGACCAGATGTAAATGGGGTAAAAGTGTCACCAGCCAAAAAAAAAAAGGAAAACTGGATCTTACTTCTTTGGAAATATGTATATAATATGTATATAAGTACTTCGACCATAGGCCTGTCAGGCTTCCTTTCCATTATTGCGCATGTGTCAGTCGTTTGCGTTAGGTGTGTGTGTTGCCTGCCTGTGTACTGCGGTCCGTCTCTGATGGCGAAGAAGTCGATGATCCTGGAGGTGAAGTCCAGAGCCACGTGCGTTTTACTGTGGATCACTGTGATACAGTGTCTGTCCCCGTAGCTGGCCCTGGGCATACCGCCACTGAACAGCAGGAACGGAGGCCTACACACACACGTTCAAGTTCAGTTTAGTTTGCCGAGAAATTAATGTGCAACAATGAGTCATGTAACACATTTAGCATTTGAAGTTAAACATTAAAAGGATGAACCACTTTCACTGAGGGAGGACAGGTCACAAATGAATCTCACTGGTGAAAAAAGTGAACTTACCCCTCTTCTGTAGGTAGCTGCACTATTTTTGAAATTGCCTTGCAGGGAAAATGACCTGCAGTGACAAAAACACAAGCCATCATCAGACTCCAAAAAAACCCAAACATTTCCTGCTTGACACCAAATAAAAATGTCAACGCCTCTTTGTCCTCACCGTAAGGAATGTCTGATTTCTCCTCCTCCTCATTCACATCCTCTCCACCCACCATCCATCGACAGTAACTTCCATCACTGTGTGAACTGAGAATGTAGCCTCCGTCCTCTGTCCACCACACACTCTCCAGTTGCTATGGTTACAAGGAAAACACACAAGGCAAATATCAACATTTAGCATGCTGGCTATAACCAGTTTATCCAGGTGGCAGGCCTTCGTAGCAGTTACCTGTGTGGCAGGGATATGCTGGATGGCACACTGTTTCTCCACATCCCAGATCACCATGAGACCTCGCCCGTAACCGATAACAACCTGGTTTGGGTTTACTGGGTTCTCCTGTAAGGCCTCTACGTGCTCCAGATTCCTGCGGCCAATGTAGTCGTCTGGCACACTGGAGAAGACAGGAGAGTGAGGATAAACACGAGAGACACAACAGAAAGACTGGAGACAGGACATCAACTTGATTATTGATCTGTAGGCACTGAGGCAGTGAGCACAGAGCTGGTTTGTTGAGGAAGACAAAGTGATGTATTTGTAGTGAGTGTGTGTG